CGTGTGTGCGCACCGCTCCGCGCGACCGAATCGTACCGCCAACCAAATGATGACATTACGAAAAGAACGAACCAACGACCACATCACGATGATGATGACAACCAAAACTTTCTATTTTTACACATTTCCGAATATTTTAACACATAAACTTTGCAACGATTATACGGGTGCAGTACAGTATATATATATATAGGTACAGAAAACATTTCAAATGATACTGAACCATAAAAACGTTTTTGCAATTGTCGGATTGCGTTCGTGAGCCCAATTTTATTACACGCCGCCACAAAATGAAAAGAAACATTATCTTTTATCGGCTTTTGTTATTTCGCGCATTTGGTGTGTGTTTGAGGCTGCCAGTGCGTTGGCCTTCAGCGTATTTTTACACAAAAAAAGCTCTGATGCGAAAATTATATGCGCAGAACACAAAAAAAGGCAGCAACAGTGCTGACTACTATGGCGATTGCACAACACAAACTAACCGAAATGTTTCGCATGAAGAGCCCGTAGTGGCCCGCCATAATGACGATAAGATGAAAGCAATGAGATACATTTTGATGATGCACATGGAAAAAGAAACAGAAAATCAAAGGCTCATGGTGAAATATTTCGGTCTATTCACGTTGTTGCATGTGAAGTATGAATCAAAAAATGCGCCAACAGTAACAAAAACTCTTCATTATCACCATTTACCGATTGAATCGTATATTGGCATTTAGGATAGTGTCAGACGGATGTGGTTTTGCTACGAAACAATGAGCAAACCACACACACACATATCAAAGTAACCTACTTGAACGAATACTCAATGAACACAGACATTACCAGAAGTGAAACTTGATATATAGAAAAGAAGTTATTAGTCGACATAAAACCCAAATTTGGGTTAATACTTCAAAGTAAAATAAATTGCACAAAAGATTTCTGAAACACAACAATTATCCTACCGAACATTTATGAACACAAACTAGTTCAATAAAATGCCCAGTCGTTTAAATTCCTTTTACAATGTTGCATCGATTTATTCAAATTGCAGCATAGCTAATTGAATCGACAAGTCGTAAACAGCCTGAAAACAGATTCTGCACAATAAACGTTCATTTGATTTTTCTATGTCATTATATCAATTTGTGTGTGTGTGAGCAAAGTGAATAATCAAAAGAAGAAACGAACGCAGTTGAAAAGGCACTCTGGTTGTGCAAGACAAGTTGGTTTGTAAACAAAGTGAAAACAATTAATTTTCGTTTAACATTCGATTTAACGACTCGTTCTTCATTAAAACTAGATGCTTCCAAACGACTATATGTATGTATTCAAATTCTAAAAGCCACATGCAGAGAGCAAAAGTGACTTTGTTCATCGTATAACCACAGTTGTTATGCAATATGCATCGGGTTTCGGTTAAAATTGAAACTGTTACTCATATCATTAATATTTTAAGTCTTCTTCACCGAATTTTATGGGAATGTCAATTAACATGAATATATCACATTTGCAAAGCCATCACACGCGCCTCGCACACACACACATAAGCACGCACGCACGCACGCACGCACATTATATCCATATAATTTGATGTGGCATCCATTGAAAATGTGCTCTTGATAGCTTCACAGAGTGGCTTACTGTTATTACACCACCATTGATTTCAATCCAGACAGGTGAACAGCATCGGCAGCATCCAGTGAAAAAAAGCGATATGATTAAAGCAGCTTTCTCTCGCTCTTTGCACAGATACTTGACATTCTCTATACCACCTTATGCTTAATTCTTTCGTTGAAGCATCTTTTTCTACATCTTTCAAGTGCTTTCATCAACAATTTTTACTCGTCGCTGCTTAATGAGCATGATTGAAGGTTTTTTCTCTCTCTCTCTAGCCAAACATTTCTCAGAATTTCTCAAAATAGCTACTGAAAAAAGCATATAATTCAACCATAGCATTAAATTAATTATTTTGTGTGTGTGTGTGTGTGTGCCTCGCTCGATGCGATTTCGAAACATTTTCCAGAATTTATTTTCGAAAACATTGTGCAACATTTTAAGACTTTCAGTAAACAGTCTATTTTGACTATAATCCAAAAATAATGCGCATTTTATCAAGTTGCGATGAAAACCGTCTCCCATTGCTGTTTCGATGAAAACAACAACAACAACCGCAACGACAACGACAACGACATTGATCGATTTGATTGGAAATTGGTTTTTAATTGCTGTGTCGTAATTTATGACTGATATGAAAGAGTATAACGTCAATAGATTGATGAATTCCAGCTCGGTGATGGCACACAGCCAAGCTAGAGGCAAGAACAAGAAAAACTGAATTATATTTATGCTTAACGATTCAATTACATCACCGAAACAAAATCAAAGAGCGTGTACGTGTTCGAAAGGTGAATTGTTTTGTGGAAAAAAAAGCGAACGTGAACAACGACAATTTGTCTGGAAAAAATCTTCATATATATGGCAATGTTCATATAGCCAATCAAACTAGATAGATTTTAAAAACATCAACAAGAATTATGTGTAACATAAATAATCACGAAAAAGAACATTTCAAAAATTAACTGACGAGATCACGAACTACGGCACGACATCAAATGAATGGCGTGTTGTGAAACCATGCAGAATGATGATAATCATTGTTGTTCTTCTTCTCCTCCGTTTTGAGCCAAAAAAACACACAGCGCATTATTCCGCCATACTTTTTTTCTTTCCCTCTTCAGCTCGTTTGAATTTATATCAATTAATTTGGATTTTTTTGTTATTAGAAGAGAGCCTTACGTAATGTGTTCCGAACTAAGGAGCAAATGCAAACCAATTACGGCCGCTCAAAATGCGAAATAATTCTTCGCGTGATCTAAAGCGATATTTTGTTTTTTGAAAGACAACCATTTCTGCTAACTACGTGGTTAATTATATTTTCCCCGATTGCACGATTATTTAGCGTTTATAAAAGCCTAAAATACCGTTTAAAACTCACCGATCTTTTATTGTTCAACGCAAATGAAAACCAAGCGAAAAACAATTGATTTTCGTGTTGGGCTTTTAATCGCCGCAATTTGTATGAATTAGATTTAAAAGTATTAGATAATTAGACGGTTGTGGCCGCAACAAAATTAGTTTTCATTCAACAATGATGTGATATCTGTATACGAGTGTCGAAGGGTTTCATTCGTTAACAATACAACAGTGCAAATAATTGGGAAATTGATACTTTTATCTCTTCAATTTCAATTTTGCGGTACGGTCGGTCGGTCGGTCGGTCGGCGCGCAAATGAAGTGATTGATCATTTACAAGCTACTTTAAAACACGCACTATCGATCGGTTACTTTCTGTCTGTCTTTCACTTGATTCTTTGTATATGTGCTTGTGCTGTGTGCTCTCGAAACGAAACCAGATGATGTTGATGCTACTTTTTCCTCTCTTTCCATCGCGTCGTCATGTTCATTCCGTTTCGATTCTTGCTTGTCACTTTCGGTCGGTCATTGTGGCTTTTGTGAGTATGATCAACGACGTAAAGATGAAAATAACCATCGAAATAAAAGAGCATACAAATCAATCATGTAATGCTCAATTCAATTGAACTGGTTTCATGAAGCCCCGTCAAACAATGAAAGGAAATGGACAGCGACGGCGATGACGACGATGATGAGGGGAAAAACGAATTATCGACTATAAGTACAATAAATTATCGAAAAAAACGAATTCGGTTCCGCATGTGCGACGAAGCAGATATAGTCTATCGAAAGAAAGGTGGTTATTGTGCTATGTAAAAATTGTCTTCAATCGATGATGTGATTACGCGCGCGCACTTGAGCTCCAATTCCACTTAATTATGGGTTTTCGGTTTTATTCTTGACCGCACATCATCATCGTTGTCATCGTCGTCGTTGTCCGTCGTCACCGTCGTTATTTCCAACAATAAATACAATTATTATTATTTTTCTTATGGATTGCGATTCATGATTTTGTTTTCTGCCACGTCACCGACCCATCTCGTTTCCGACGAAAACGATGATGCTGGCTCATCGCTTTCGCTTTCAATCTCAAGTACTTAACGCTAAAGTTCACATTTTCCGATTCACCTTTACCGCCTGCTGTGTTTAAGCATGTTCTGCCGCCATTTTTTTTGCAAAAGACCTATTTTTTAAAACGGTTTCGATTCTCTTTATTTTCTTTATTTTTTCCATGCACAAGAGAGCACCTCCGTCGCGCCATTTTGTCTGCTTTCTTTCTTTTCCGATTTGCACGTGGGATCGGTTCGAAATGGAATTTTTCGTCGAAATATCACTTGCGGCCCTACATCCATACAACATTTAATGTAAGACAACAAGCTGCTTTGTTTGGGTATTTTAAACACGATGTGGTTCACATTTGATTTCATTCTCTCTCTCTCTCTTTCTCTCTGTTTTTCCTCGTTCATTGTCAGCCGATGAATTGATCACCCGACACAAAAACTATTGTGTAATTTCGTATAATATTCATATCGGATGTAAACGCATGAATTGACTCAATAAAATGGCAAAACCTGTAATTTGGCAATTGCCATCGGCAATTTTCATACACACACACATTTAATCTTTTTTCGGCAGTGCACGAATCTCTTCGCTATTTCGCACTTGGAGATTTTTCTGTACACAGCTTTCACTAATTACTCATGCTCATGTACATGGGCATGAACAAGCAAGCGGCCACGAACAGCAAAAGAAAATGAAATCGAAGCGGATCATAGATTTATCAATTGGTCACTCGAATCGAATCAAATGAAGTAATAAGCACAAACAAAAGAAATTTATTAAGAAATGAAAGAAAAAAACGGAAATACACGGCTTTTGACCGTAATCGACACAGACGAGAAATACAATATTTCTTTCTCAGTTCATCAATTGAGGCGAGAGACATTCACTTTTTTCACTTGCATTCCTGCCAAAGCAATTCAATCAATATTTCCCATACTTGTTATGACTGACTTAATTAAGCAATGTGGTTTCGATTTCAGGCATTTCGAGCAATTGTACTAGTTTGCGCATTGGCTTTGCCAATGACCAACGCAGTAATTAACACAAAATCCGACACGATGAAACTCGAACGGCGTGAAGCTCCATTCGAAACATATGGTCCACCGGAGATACAACCACAGCAGCAAACAATTGTTTTGCCAACACCAGTTTATGGAGCACCATCCATAGCCAAATACCCACCACCTCCACCAGAACGACCGCCATTGCCGCCAACACCATCCAAGGAATATGGTAAATTACATTTCGATTTCGCTCTCTCAGCGAAAATTTACATTATTCATAATTGTATAATATGTATAGTCGCTTCATATGATAAATCATCTAAAAATATTGATTTTTACAATAAATTTCTATTAGAAAATTAAACCGCGTAAATGTGTTGTGCAAAATATTAGCCCATAAAAATTGATAGGGAAATAAAATGTGTAGCTTGATTAAAATATTTTCGACTTTCACATCGTAAACAGGCGTGCCGGTGCTTCAATACGGACCACCAAAGGTGCAAATAGAATACGGCCCACCTCCGCCAGCTCATTCGCATCAGCAAATTCAAACCAATAATCATCATCATCATCAGGTTATAAATCATAGCAGCCATAACAGTCACAATAGTTTATCATTGTTCGATCAAATCAAAGAAACCCTTGGATTTGGTAGCAGCGGATCGTCAAGCCATGTACCACATTCGTCATATGGACCACCGCAATCGTCATATGGACCACCAAAAACATCATATGGACCTCCACCTCCTAGCCATTACATTCCACCAAAAGTGCACACAAAATACGGAGTGCCACCGAAATCATACTTCATTTCCAAACCACCTACATCTTACGGTATGTTTAACCATATTTCTTATAGATGGAGATGATGATAAGGAGCAATTTCTCATTTCACGTGCAAATATTAAATATTTGTCTGATTCATTCAGTTTGAAATGAAAGTTTAGTAGGTCGAAAAATGGACAGAAATAAAAAAAAATCGCATTCCAATTAGTGTGAATCACTTATTCGAGCTATGGTTCGAATTTATTTGTTTCAAACGTGTCGCACTTTTAAAAATATAAATTTTAAATTATATACTAGGTCCACCACAACCTAAGCCGCACACAAGCTATGGTTCACCGAAGCCGCAATATCAAGCACCACCATTTAAAGCATACTACGGTCCTCCACTCAAACCAGCCGTTAGCTTCAAGCCACAACAGTCATATGGACTGCCACCGACTCCACTTCGTCAACCTCTTCCTGCCTATGGACCACCCACTGTGCAAGTGCAAGTGCAACAAACATTGCCAGCAATCCCTCAAGCACCTTCCTATCCTGCACACATTTCACATGGACCATCATTCCCGCAACCAATCAAAGGTGCCGGATGCGACGGATGGAAACCAATTCCAGGCCCATTACAACAAGGTTATGCCAACAGCAATACAGCAACAATTGAATCAGTCGCACCGGAAAATAGTTACTTGCCACCCATTTCGTCAAACACGTTGCAAATAGAAACTGTAATACCCGAAAATAGCTATCCTCCACCTGTATCGTCTAACACTCTACCGGTTGCAGATACTACGCTCACAGTTCAGCCACTTCCAACCAATCTTCAATTGCCAGTTGCTGAAGCACCAAACTTCCACAACGATGCCAATTTGGGATCGCTAGGATCAGACATTGCCTCTGGTTTGGGATTAACCAGCATTAACGTTGTGAAAAGCGAAGGAATCGAGGTTTGTTTATTTTTAAAAGCGAAAATAAATTGCTTTTGAATTTTACCAAATTTTAACTGTTTCGAATATTTGTGTCTTTTTTCTCTCGCAGCTTTCAAACAACTTCATTCAAGATTCGTACTCATTGCCACCCGCCGAATCATTTGCACCAGATTTCCATAGAAGACCAGCAAGTGGCCTAACACCGCCCGGTTCTTATCCATACAGTGGTTCGTCTAGCTTCAAACAATATCCAATTCATGTGAGCGCACCAAGACATCCCGTTTCATTCCGGCCACCAGTGCCACAAGGATTGCTTGAATCAATTGGTCAATCCGTTAAACATCAAGATCAATTCGGTATCAAATTGCGACCACAATCAAGTGTTTATCTACCTCCACCAACCAATGAAGTGCCACCACCACCAGCAGGTTTGTTTCATTTTCCTGATTCGGTTCGAAAATAAATTTTTCATTGCAAAAAAGTTGAAAAAGATAAATTAGTCATGGGAAGATAAGAACACGATTGAAAAGAAAAAAAAAATTCCATCGGGAAATTCTGATTCTTGAACGATTTCAATCCATATTTCCCATATAGGTCTTGAAACATTGCCATTAGCTCCAGCCGCACCATTCCATCCGGATACACCAAAAGCAAATAATTTCGACCATCAATTCGTGTATGCACCATCACAGTGTAGCCATGGTCCAAATTTGGCTGGCGGATCATATTCCTTTGGCTCAAATCCATTTGGATCGATCCCACAGTTGCAAACTGCTTATGGTGTTCCAAATCAAGCATTGGATGTGAGTCAATCAAGCAGTTTTGAAATCGTTCAAAATGCCGGTTCACAAGGATTATTGACAAGTTATGGTCCACCCGCATCGGGCGCTGTTTCGAGTGGTGCATCATCGGGCTTTGACTCATTCATCAATACACACGAAGAACATTCGCCGTCCTCAAGCTACGGTCCACCACCATCTGGCAATCCAGCCGATTCATTTGCACATGGCAGTCAAAAATCACTAACCACCGTTCAAATCGACAGCATTAGTAACAATAACTCGACGGCTAACACAACCGATTCACAACAATATTCCGAATTGCCAGGCCTATCAAATGCTGGCCTTAACATAATTTCGGCACAAAAATCCATACCAATCGAAATACCAGTTCAAGGTCAACTTGGTTCATACTCATTGCAATTCCAAGCGGCCGATCCATTAGCTAGTCAACATAATGAAATAGACACACCGGACCATCAGCGATTGCTGAGCGAAGGATTGTTGCAATCCATTTTGTCAGCCATCGAACAGCCCAAAGGCAATGAAACACCACAATCCACATTCGACTCAACGAAAGAGAACTTAGATAACCATCCGGAAGTCGGTAAATTTGTAAAAAGTGCTGTTGGTCATGAAACGCTAGCTGAAGTTGAAGCCGAGTAAAAAAAAACGGTGTTTTTCATTCTGGAACCGAGTTAGAATTGCTAATAATACGTCCTATTGAATAAAAGAAAATGTGAATGTGTGCGGAACAGAAAATCAACAGAGAAAAATTCAGCTTAAATTATTCTAAATGTTTAAAATAAAGAAAACAATAGCAATTGGGAGATAAAAAAAAAGAAAACTCAATGTGAATGCGGAGAGTGAACGAATGAGTGAATCGAGCGAATGTGTGTGCGAATGTAAGATTGCAAGAGTTCAAAAACCAATTTATTTATTTTCTTCTAACCATTTTTTACATTTTATTTAGAAATATTTTATTAAATGGGGACACATTGTATCTTAGATGTTTACGTACTATTTCAGCCGTTATGGAGAAGAAAAAAAAGAAGGAAGCGTAGAAGGTAGTTGAAACGAAGACAACAATTGTAGTTTTTACGGTTGCCATAAATTTAGAAGAGTTATTATTGTAAATGCAAACTGCAAGTGAGTAGCATTTATTTAGGAACGGTGCAGGCATTTACATATGCACACACACGGAATCGATGCAGCGAACGTGGTCAGTCACTGGTCAAGCGTGTACTAACGAATAGGAGAGTTTATTTGTAATAATTGGAATTGTATTTGTTTTTGTTTGGTTTTGTGCAAGTGAACAATTAGGTAAAGAAATCAATTGTCCATTTTATACCATTTTTGGTACGGCCTCTGACTTCGGCCGCCACGCATCGGGTTTTGTCCTCATTTTATTTCATCAATATATTTTTTTAGAAAAATTTTTACTCAACGAAACAGAAGAAACGCATGCTTGAAATTATCGAAGAGCAAGCGTAAAACACAGCAAACGTGTACATGGTATATTAGGTTATAAGACTGTTAATATTAAATTAATTCGTGTTGTAGATTTATGCGATAAAAATACATAAACTTCAATTGAATAAAGAACAAAAAAGTACCGAAAATTATGAAAAAATGCTGTTCTTTTCTCTCGTTTTAAATTAGAGTTTTTCAGCAATCGACAAGTTGATGGGATTTCCGATGAGGTTTGCTGTTGTTGCTGTTTTTCCTCTTTCGTTGCCAGATCCATATCCAATTATTATCTAGTAGGCATAACACATGATATTTTTTGTAGTATCACGTTTCAGAATGAACTTTCACACGATGGAATCCGATTTGCCATTTTCTTCTCTTTCTCTCTCGCTCTCTCTCTCTCTGTCTGTTTCTGTCTCTCTCGTTTGATGCTTTGGAAATTAATACGAATCGTCTTCGTTGATTCAAAACAATCGAAAAGGAAATTGAAAAAAAGTGCTTTTGCTTTTTGGATGAATGAAAATATTTGTAAACAGCTGCACTGAATTGAAGTCATGAATTGGTCTTTTTTTGCTTCAACATTTATTTCTTCTACTCTGCCCGTCTATTTCTCTACTCAATTCAAATATTGATTTACTACAAATGTTTACGATTTGATGTGAAACGAGTGAGCGCGAGCGAGAGCATAAACTCTATCGAAATCAGTGTCAAACGCCAATCATGATAGAAATATACACGATGCCAAGCGCGATTCAAAACCATTGCCATTTCGCAAACGTACAAAATGACAATTTTACCTTTGACCTGCACTCGAACAACACAACAGCCAATAACATCACGCTCTTACGGCACACACATACAAACTCGTTTCCATTGAAATGAAAAGTATTCTCTCTCGTCGTTTTTTAAGACCCGATTCACAATTGATGACAGAGACAAGAAGTAGAAATCGAACGGTAACTTGAACTGAACTGATGCTGTGGCGAGAGAGTAAAAGCGAAAGCCAAGACAATAAGATGAGACATGCTAAAGATGGAAAATGATTTGTATCATTGTACGAAGTGAAAAATCGGAAATTCATGTTTTCAACTGGCCCAATAAAGCAAAACAAAAATTCGAAACAATGCCAAAGAAATGCCGAATTCGTGCGATGAGCAAATGAGCACCAGAGATTGTTACAATTTTTTTTTTCGCTTCGCATCGTCTTCGTTCAGTCAATTCGCACTGAAATACTTCGTTTTGTTCTGGCTGAAGGTGATTTCGATCCTTTGGCATCGTCGCATGTGTCGCGATTGACTACCTATTTGCAAATTGAATTTTCATAATTTTTTTCATGTATTTTTTTTCTTTTCATTCGCTTGAACGTCGCGCAAATGCATGCGAAGACATAAACAGATTTTCAATAAAGAATGTTGCTTCATTGCATTTCGTGAGAAAGAAAGCATTCATTTCAGCGATTCTGTCAATGAACGACAGCGATTGGAATGGATCAGAAAAGAAAAAATGAAAATCGATAAAACGCCTTGTAACGATAAAAACACCGGTAATAATAAAACCTGAATCAAGAAATATGTTGCATATGTTCGTTGACACACTTCAGTGCTTTCGACGGTCGGAGAGGTATATTTGTTTCGTATGTATGTGTGAATTAAAATCAACGTTGGAAATTCTTATCCGTGAATGTCGAAAAAATCATTTCATTTTCATTGACACCGGTTTTGTTGCTCCATTCATAATGGCTTTAGCTAATGGCAACTCAGTACAGAGTAAAAGTGAAATTTTGTTTTTTGGAAGTTTCAATAATTCGTTTCCAATTTATTTTCTTTCGTTCGATTGTCTTCATGTTTACGATCTGATACAACCGGTTTGACAAATTCATTGCGTCGTTTCTTCCTCATATTCTTTCGATTCTTTTATTTTTCCGCCGTATAATGAACTTCTCTGTGAAGAAAAAACCAACTCTGATGCATCAAGTGTAGTGCGATAAGTCGATATTCAATTAATTAAGAGGGCAAGCCAAGAAGAAAATAAAAACTCACACTGATCCGATTATTCGAGCGATTGACGTTGAGATGAAAGCACCAGTTCTACTGGAATGTAAAATGTTAATTATCCGGAATTCTGTTTGGTTGTTTTTTTCTCTCTTCATTTTCCTACACCGGAGAAAGAGTTAATAAATTGCCGTCCAGTTCGGCTGATTTATCTCGTACACACGTGAAATGTTCATCCGGTCATTTTATTATTTACTTATCTGGAAAAGTGATACGTTTTGTTGTGTGGTGTGTGTGTGTGTGGGTCTTGAATTGAAGATTTTCGAGTATTCCGGCTTATATTTCGAAAAATTCAAGCCGCACACCGGCAGCTATACGACAAAAGAAGAGAATGTTTACGCTTGGCCAAGATAAACACTGCGCTTGAAATTACCCAAAATATGCAAATTTACGAATCAAAAAGAATTTTTCTCTCTCTCTCATTCCCCATCCGGCTTTGAATGAAAAAGCGCGCCCAAATGCATTATCGAAAGTGCAGATAGAGAGAAAATCCAACGTTTCATAGCATAACATAAACAATGCACCAAAATAAACGGGATTGCTGTTGTGTGTGTGTGTATGCGCGCGTGCGGGCTTGCGCTTCCTACCGACCACAAACTCGGTACGATGAAGTGCATTGAATTTTTCACAACGGTTTATTTTTACGGTGTGCCATGCAAAAGATAGCTACAATCGGCTTTTTGATAAATTATGAGGTAAACAAGCGGTTTCGATGTGTTTCAATCCTCAGTAAATATGGATGCGGTTGCTACGTTGCCTATGCCCAGATTTTTCACCTCTCCCAAAGCATGGTTTGCAGGATCGAAATGAAATTCGATGGTGTTGGAAGCACTCAAAATATGCGAAATTTACTCGATCTCTATTTTCAACATAAGCCGCATGCAAACTTGCGTTTGCACAGTAGAAATGCGGCTCATTCTTTGAAACAGCTCAAAAAATGTTATCTTATGCTATTATGTTTTTTCATTTGTTTGGTTTTCGTTATTTCCTGCCATTTTTGTGCAATGCAAGTCAGTTCAAGCGGATTTTAATTTCGAAGTGAGGTTGAGAGAGCGAGAGAATAAGAGCGAGAAAGGAGGAGAAGTAGGATAAAGAACGCCAGTGATTTTCGGAATGCTGGACATTTTGCCAATGGCAAAATTTTCCATCTTCGCAAAAGATCGCTTTGGAGCATTTTATTTATAATTGATATAAGCATTCTGGTAACGAAGTTTTTTTTTTCGTTGAAATTTGGTGTTTGTTTTCGAAAGTGCATTTTTCAGCTCAGATTTGTTGGTGGAAGAATACAGCCATTCATCTCTCTGACGCAGACACAGCAGCAACAGAAAAAGAAGAAGAAGAAGGAAAAAAAACTATTTTCCCGTGCAACGGCACACAATGGACAAGAAATCAAGTTCTCATTACATTCAAGCGCGGTATTATATGTACTGTACTCATGCTAAACTGTATATATTTTTCTCCATGTGCCAATGTTGTGCATTGTTGGCGCCCATATTTTGCAATTGAATTTGGTATATGGTCATTTCGGCTGAACTTTAGGTATCCAGTTGCATGAAAAATGTGCCGGGCCAACTCGCTAACTATAACGAACGAACGAGTGAACTAAAAAAAAAACCCCAAACTGGATGGTCGAGCACGTTGCATGATTTCATTTTTGCGGCCATTTATCATTCGAAATCAGGTGGTTTTCGCAGCGAGAGGAGAAATTCAATGGATTCAACAGTATCAAGCGAGCAAAAGACCCTTAATATGGAGAGTCTGTTGAATCTCATTAATGTACTCCAAAAAATGCTATTCTTTTTTTTTTGCTTTGGTATTATGTTGTTTGCCGTGCTTCTCTCGCTCACCCGATTTAATGCACCATGAAACATCGGTTCATGCTCTGGTGTGTCTTTTGGATTTTGGTATCATTAATCAAGTTTTGTTGCGATTTGACCCATTGTGAAAAAAAGTTTCCAAATATTTATACGACCCCATTCTTACAATCGGGAATGTAAATGTTTTCGATATTACATAAATGTGTTCAATACCCAAAAATAAAAGTAAAATTTAGTAAAAAAAAAACCATGGTAGCACCTTAAACGTTTGCTTCCTGACCATTGACCATCAGTGGCCGAAACAATGCCCCGACATGCCAAAACATTTTCCATGGTAAGTCTGTTTGATTGTTGTTGATGCATTCATTGAGTTTTTTTTTCTCTTCTTTCATTCATTTTGATCGCGCATTGTGCTATAAATCGATTTTGTAGTGTGAATGAGTGGATGAAGCAAAGTTGTGAAGACGATTATAATTTGCTGCGCATTCAGAAGGAGATTGTAACGCTAAATTGACTCCAATTCTATCATTGTTGGGCGGATAATTTTCCAATTTTTTTTTCTTCTCTCTTCAATCGAAATACAAATGGATTGCAAACGAAGCAAAAGAATAGAGGTAACAAAAATGTATGAAACGACTGATGATGCTTTATACGATGAAACACTTTTTCAATGAAAACACAAATTATTACAATTTTTACACAATCGCATTCATTTTCCATAAAGATAATAATCCATGGCGCTGTCTCATTCAATGGAAATTGATAGCGAATGAGCAAACAAACAGCACTATCGATTTCAATGCCTAATTGGATATTCTTCAAAGTAGCCGATGGATTTATTTACGTTTCTTTTTATCGTTGTTTCTTATAGATTAGCACTCTTACTTTCATTGTTTTAAATACCTACTTCTTTCCGATGAGACGGGTAAAAATGGTAGAAATTATGAGTTTTTTTAATAATGAATATGCTCTCATCGGCCAATATTCATTCACTGTTGCGTTGAAATGTGTATATTTCCTATAAAAAAGTGGCCCATGCAAATGTCGATGAATGATTAAATTATCGACCGCCAATTTGCGAGTGAAACTATCGATTGTGGTTAATTCTCACCGTTTTGAAAACGCTGATTGAGCTCAGTCGGTTACGAAACGGCATCGCTTTGAATAAAATAAGTTTGAAAAGAACATGAAAACGAATTCTGGGCTCGTGTAAAATTATCATGCCCATTGACTTTGGACATTGATTTGTGTGCGCGTGTGAATTGTCGTGTTTTCCAATTCGATCTGTCTGAACA